CGAGCATGCAAACCCTGAGCACATCTCCCCTCACGGTTGCTCCTGACTGGGAGGGAAGCATGGGACGGAGGGATATCTGCGAGGGCGCGCCTCGAGCCCCGCCGCCAGCAGCATGAATCCGAAGGCGCGCAACTTCCACGCGAGCACCAGCTCCCCCACGTGCGCCCGTGCCTCAGCCAGCCCACGGCCGACCGCTGCGGTCGCCGCCGCCAGTCCACGTCTCGGTGACTCCGAGAGGTGTGGTTTGCGAAGGGTGTGGCTTGCAACCCGCTTCCTGGATGGCGGGCGAGGACCTCGACGGGATTCTCCGCCGCGCCACGGGGCGGCCCGACGAGGGCAAGGCGGTGCCCCCCGAGCTCCAATGACGCAGATCGCAAACCACACCCCGGCGCAACCACACCCTTCGTAATCGCCAACGCCGGACGAAGTCACTGCCGCGGCCGCCGTCGTGGCCGACGTCGACGTTGTCGCCGCCATGGTCGTCATAGACGTCGACGTTGGCGTCGTCATGCCAACGTCGCGCCGCCGTGGTCGCCCACGTCACGACGATGCCGCCGTCGTGGTGGTCGCCAGCGACGACAACGGCGTCGTCGTCATCGCCGTCGTCGAAGCTGTTCCAGGTCGCAGGCGTTCACGCCGGCGGCGCCGTCGATGAGGGGGGACCCGAGCGGCAGCTCCCGCAGGCGCGCGCTGCCCGGCGCCGCCGCCGCCGTCACCGACGTCGTCGCCGCCGTCGGCGTCGACGGGGCCGTCGATGACGTCAACGACGTCAACGAAATGGGCGTCGCCGATGGCGTCATCGTCGTCGAGGATCCCGAGCAGCGTTTTGGTCGCCACCGCCGACGGCGTCGTTGGCGCCGTGCGTCGTCGTCGTCGGCCCGAGCGCGTGTCACGGGCAGCCCTGAAAGCCCTGTCACCCAAACGGCGAAACTTTTCGGCGCACGACGGGAGGAGAAGGGAGGGTGCGGAGGACGAGGAAAAAAGAGGAGGGGGAGGAGGACGTTGAAAAGGGAGGGCGCGAGGAAGACGAGCATGACGAGGAGAAGAAGAGGAGGACGAGGGGGCAGGAGGAGAGGAGAGTGAAGAGGACGAGGGGGAGAGGAGGATTTTACATCAACCGTGGCAACCAAGGGCGACGACCTGAGGGCGTCGCCCCCTGCTATCTGGCCTGAAGCAAGCCAGCGAGCAGTGAAACGAAGAAAGGAAGGCAGGCGCGAAAGCCACGGGGCGATTTCCCACAGGAAGGGAGGATCCCCTGTAGCTCACCGCCTGCCCCCCCCAAGCCCACGACCAGAGAAGAATGAGGTCAGGGCGAGACGCACCACAGGCGGAGGACGCATGCTGCATCTCCTAGTCTGAGTCGTCAGACCGTTGTGCAGCGACGGCGACGAGCGAGGCCTCGTCCTCTTCAAGGACGGAGGCAACTCGGTCTCGGCCGAACGCTCCAGCCGACGAGGCTGGCTCAGGCACCTGCTGCACGGCCTGCTGGGAGGAGCTCTCACCAGGCAAGCCAAACAACGAAAAGACTGCTTCCTCTACCGCGTCGCGCGGTCCAAGAGGGAGAGATGATGGGGCAGCAGCTTCGACGGTACAAGACGACTCGGACGAAAGGTCGACGACTCGATCGTGCTGCTGCCCCTGTGGCGGTGCTGACGGAGGAGGATCCACCTCCAGCTCCACGCCAGCTGGGACTGATGTCCCCCCTGCTGCGGTGACTAGCCTCCGCACCAGCTGAGCTGTCCGCAACTCCCTTTCTTGGTCGGTGAGACGCCGAGGCCGCTCCTCTTGCTCCAAGTCTTCATGCCAGGGGCCAACCTCGACTGAAACGCCTTTGCGCTTGGGGTGGCGCCCAGCCCCCACAGAACTCCAGGCAGACTTGGCGCCCCCACTCTGTGGTTGACATTCACACTGCCTAAGCAAATTGCGAGGCTGCCCGCGGGGGGAATAGGCATGGCATCGCATGCAAATAGTGAGGGCAGCACCGTCGGGGCATAGCAATGCGATGCAGTTGTGCCTGAGGGCTGAAAGCGCCGCGGACGTCAGCTTGGAATCTCTAAGGCACTTCCCGGGGGCAGGCGGGTCGAGACCTCCAGGCCGAGAACCGCCAGGGTTCGTCCGCGGCGCGCCCTTAGCAACCTTGAGACATTCAATGCACTCCCAAAACGAAGAAACCCGAGTCCACTGGTGGGACCTCGGCTCTATCTTGGGCCTTGGGGGCTCGGGAACGAGCGGCCCCCCTGTCAGGTTGAGCCGTGGCCACTCTGGCATCAGCTCGATTGAAAAACGCATGACACACTGGGCGATCGAGAGGCATCGCTCGAGCCATACCACATCCTCGGGGTCGGGTTGCGGGTGGCGGGCTAGCGAGCTTTCGGCAACAACATCAGCAAGGTCATTGCCTTGCTTCCAAAAGCGCTCCAACTCGGTGAGGTCACTGGATTCTTCAACATGCGCCTTGACCTTTAAAACCCCTTTCCAAAAGCTTGCGGTGGGTAGGGGGGCAAAAATCCTGAATACGCACACGTTGGTAGGACAGGGCCCTGAGCAGCGGCTCGTTGGCTTGTACGACCACATTCTTACAATCAGAAGATATAGAACTACCTGGCTGGGCATACATTGCAGCAACAGCGTAGGCCCCACACTCTCCCCCTTGGGCAGTCTGGAGGTTGGGGGCCCAAAAGGGACAACTAATGCAACAGATCTCGTCTCCGTCGTCACCTACCATCACTATCCCCCACCCAGCCCCGGAGAGTTCTTTAACAGGGTGCGCAACGCAAGACCCGTCTACGAAGATGTGTCCAGATATACTAAGCGATTTAGACGAAGGATCATGGGCCCAGATGATCTCAAAGCCAGTATCTTCAACATCATCACGAGCTGGAAAAGGAAAAAACATCCCCTGGGTGCCGAAACAGGCCACGAATAAACAGCAAGTGGTCTCCTTCGTTGTTCTCGGGCGCGAGGCCGGGCGGGGGCAGGAGGGAAAACTTTGGCTTGAAACTGTCAAACACCGCCTGCCTCTTGTCATGGCACGCTGGGCAGAACCAAAGCCGATGAAGCATGGCATTGGGCGCGCCCCCACAAAGCTCGCAGACCGTGCTCACAGCGTACCCTGCTTCAGCGGCTCTGGTCCTAGCCCACGTGGCATTGCAAGCCACAGCCTTGGCACGACCTCGCTGGTACGGCGCACCCTTCTTGGGGCGGATCGTAGCTGCAACAACATCATGGCAAACTCGAGCTCCTGGAATATGCGGGAGCAGAGCAGCGCCGCTGGACCTCTCATGGGTCCTCTGAACAGCGGCCTTCAAAAGCTTCTTAAGAAGGGCAGGGGACGTGACCGTGAGCGAAACCTCAGTTCCAAAATCGTCCAACAGGGCACAGCAGTTGGGCATGCTCCAAGAAATCCTCTTCAAGGCCAGCTTCATGGCCCCCAGGGGCCCGCGGACCCCGCGCCAGGTTTTGGGCCCAGGGGGGCAGAAAAAACCCTCTCCAAGCGTCCCTCAGCTCAGCGAACGGGATAACAAAGGGAAAGAGCCTGGTTTGGTTGGCCCAAATCTCCTTGGAGTACCTCACGATGGGCGCCGCCGCAGGGTACCAGGCCGGGTCCTGGGACAAAATCAGGACAGAGGTCCGTGACCTCATCTAGGCAGATGGCTGCATAGTACTGGCGGCGGCGACCTGCAATCTGTGCCATTCGAAATCCGAGAGCCCGTGAACCTCAGACCCGTGCGCGAGGCTGGGGAGGGGGCCAGCAATTTAAAAAATTGGCAGCGCGCCTCCCAAGGGCCCGCTTGGCTCGCTTGAGCCTCCTGACTTTTTTGTTGAAAACCCGTTTGCGGTCGGGAAACTTCTTCCCTCTACCAGGAAGCCGTCGGGAAGAACCTGGGGCAAAGTCGATGCCCAAGTTGACGGTCCCTTGGATGATGGGCCCCGCGAGGCCGCCGAGACAGTCCCTGACTTGCGCGGCGAGCGCGTCCGACGAGGCAACGAGGGAGGCTTCATCAGGAGAAATGACCGCCCCCAAATCAACCTCGATGGCTTCCCTGAGGTTGGCTGCGGCCTCAGGGAGGTGCCTGGCAATGTAGGCATTGGACCCGTTGCAGCTGAGACCGTAATCGTCAATGTAAACGTCGAGCGTGATACCTGGTGGCAGCTGCAACGAGTCGAGTGCAGAAATAGCATTGATGCGCACCATGTTGGTCGCTAGACCACAGCCGGCGACAACGCCGCTGGTGGCATGGAACGGGCCGGCGACCACGCCGCCAAGAGAAATGAACCTGCCATGCCGATATCCTTGCACAGCAAGCCGAGCTAACTGGACGGGGAACTCATACTGATGGCACCGCTGAAGGAGCGCGCCCAAGTGCACCAACTCGAAACATTTGTAGAGGTCCCACAGGACCGCGCAGCTGGCCCGGCTGCTGGCCACAGCTCCTTCAGCTCGCAAAGTCTGCCTCCAGACATCATCGACCGCGGAAGAAAACTGGGGCCCAGCAAAGTAGCTGCGCTGAAACTTGCTTTCCCACTGGGCGGCATAGGGCCTGCGGCACCGCCCCCAGAGGCGGTGAGAGCTGCAGAGAAGGCCGATGGGCCGATATCCTCCAGAGGGTTTGTTGAGAAGGGAAAGCACAACCAGGGAGGTTTGCCCTGGAAACAGCCCAGAAGCTTCCATGATGGAATACATTGTGCCAGGGACATCCAGGGACCCGTCCGATAGAGAGGCAAAGTGTTTCATGTGGAACCCGTCAACAGCAGTGGCAGAACGGGCGGCATACCGCCTAGAAGCCGAACGCAGGGTTTCAGCAGTGAGGCGGGGGAGGGGTTCAACGAATTGGAACTTGGCCTCCTCCGGGGGGGGGGGGTCGGGGGCGGCGCTCCAAAGCTGACTGAAATTTCGGGCCTCCGACGCCAGCAGCGCCAGGAGGTCCGAGACGACAGCTCCATCTCTGCTGAGGGTCGTGATGGGGGTCCACGGCTGGCCGCCTCTGACACGCTGGTGAGCTCTCCTGGCGCCCTGGTCAATGGACTGAAGAAACCACTCTTTCCACTCATCGAGTGCCTGCGATTTGGCCTTCACAGCAAAGGTCGCGAGGTGCTCGTCTAAGTCGGCAAGGATGGATTCCCAAATGGCGAGGTCGAGGAGATCATGTTGCCCTAAGCTGTGGACTTCCAGCTGTGGACCCCCATCACGACCCTCAGCAGTGGACTTCCAGCCCTTGCTTCAAAAAGCTGGGAGGGTTGAGCAACAACCTCCGAACTTCCTGGGACTGGGCGGATCCTATAGCGACCGCACCGAGCTGGAGAAGGAGCCTGAACTTGCTCACGAGCCATTTGATCGAAAACAAATGGGGCTGTCGGTGGGGGGCTCCCCGATCTTGATCAAGAATGTGAACCCAATGCTGCTGTGGCATCTTTCCCCTGCCCCCCCAACAGGGCAGTGTGGTTTGTCTACCCCTCGCCAGCTCCTTCTCCGAGAGGTCGACCCAGTGCTTGTAGAGGGTGTCGAGCAGGCGCTGTACAGCGTGCACGTCACCACTGTGGCAAGCATCTAAGGCACGATCAGCTTCACACTGCATAGCAGTCCAATCTGGAGGTGGAGGCGCAGGACCGATCGCGGGCTCAATCGGCAACGGCGGGGGCTTCCGAATAACGAGCCCGTGAAGCCTCCCAATCCCTGCGTGAAACTGCATCTTCGGGAGGTGAGTAACGAGGTTAGACGTGTGAATGGCACTGACGGAGGAGATGCCCTTGGCAAGCCCAGCTGTGACGATAAAATAATCGAGCATGCTAGTGCCACACGTGCCCACGACCTCTTTGGGAACGACCACCTGCGCCCCCCAACCTGTTGACAATCCCTGACGAAACGATCTCGTCGGGGATCATCTTAAAATCAGCTCCAATGATGGTGGGTAGGCCTGCCTGCTCAACGACCGTGCCAATGCACGCTAGGAGCTCCGCGTTGGCCTCCGGGTGCCCCTCAACCGCGCGCGAGCAGGTGCTGCAAACGAGGATGGGGCAACCGCCAGGAATGTGCACAACTGCTCCGATCGAACAATGTCGGTCGATGATATGACCTCCAGGGGGCGCATTACACCCCAAGGAATTCTGAGCCAGGATCCCAGCCCCCGACGAAGTACCGTGTCCCACTCCTGGAGCAGCAGGCCCGAGGATAGCTTTCCACCCATGCCGATGGGCCCAGCCTGTAGCCTCCTCCAGCTCAGCCTCAAGTAAGTGGTGCTCTTGGATGAGGAGAACGTGGGCACCGCGCTCGGGGGGCCATGCTCTGAGGCCGCCTCCCGAGTCGGATTGCCAAGACGTGACATTGGCAGTCTGGCTAACGAGCTCAACACTAGAACCTCCAGGGGTGGGTTCAGGGGCGTGGAAGGGAAACAGCTTGGAAGCCTGGGGGCGTTCAACGCCGAGGCCTGGCGCGGCCCTGGTAAAAGCTTCATGGCCCTCGGTGCCGAAAAATCCAGGGGGGCCGTGCCGAATCCCAGGGTGGAGGCCGCCAGCGGCCTGTCGGGGACAGGCACTGTCCGACTTGGCGAGGGTGGCCTCCGCAGCTTGCGACAGGTTGAAACACTTGTGGGCGTCAGCCCACCGAGCGTCGAGGGAGCTGCACACTCCGTCGACGCTGTCTTGATGCGACCCAAAGTGGGAAGGCGCTCTGAGACCATGGATTTCGAAACCATCCGAATCAAAAGTTGGGGACGGGCAGTGAACACTCCCTTGGGCGCTCGCCGTGAGAGCGCTGAAACTGGCACGCGCATGCAGGCATGGATGCGTGGCCAGACTAGGCGTCGGCCCCTCCCCCCACCCCGCCAAGGGCGGGGGGGGGAGGTTGAAGGGCCTTCTCTGCCTTGGCCCGCACATCGTCTGCTGCTGGGGCCCCACCACCAGCTGGGGCAGCCTCAGCGGCCGCCGTGCCAGGGGCAGCTGCAGGTGCCTCACGCGGCCCAATATCAGCTCCAGCATCTCCCCCTGCCGCTGCCCCCTGGTCAGCGCGCCGCCGCTTGCTGGCAAGCCGAGCCAAGTGCTCTCGATGCGCATCTCGGGCCGCTTCGGCAGCAGCCACCAGGGGGCCCAGCAGGTCTTTGGCCAGCTTGGAGACCCCAGCGTTGAGGTCGTCCTTCCGCTTGGCGATCTCTTCGCGGCCCTGGACCTCGAGCTCAGCGTCGCCCTCGAAGAAACTGACCTCATCCACTGAGAGGAAGGCGCCCAGGTCGAAAGTGTCAGCGCGCAAGTCTTCCAGCTTGAGCTTGGCAGGGGCTGGCGCAGCGGGGACGGGAGCCACAGACGCCTGCTGCTGCAGGTCTGCCACCAACGCCTTGTGCTGCTGGTCAGCTGTTGCCAACTCCTCACGCATGCTACGCACCGTGTCCTCGAGTTTGGCGACGTCGTTCCTCCAGCCCAAGAGCTTGTCCACCTCCCTATCTGACGCCTTCTCCAGTCGAGCCACCGCAGCGAACTGCTGCTGCACACGCTGGTGGAGAGGAGTGGGAGGCTTGGGCGACTCCTGTGCGCGCAGCTTCTTGAACTCAGCCTCGTACTTGGATGCTGTGGTGAAGTCACCTCCTTTCCGTGCAAGATCTGCCAGCTGCTTGGCCTCGTTCGCGTTGAGCTGGCTCTGGGGTCCGACGGGGAGAGGGGGTGCCCTGGCAGCTGCGCCTCCAGGATGCCCACCTCCGTGCCCAGCTCCAGCAGGCTGTCCAGAACCTCCAGGGGGCCCAGGGAAGGGACGAGTATGCTTGGCCTGCGACCACGCCCCGCTCTGTGGGGCTCCACCATCGACAGGACGAACAGCAGCAAGAGGAGTCCCACAATGCTTGCAGTAGCGGGCCGCCTTGGGGTTCTTCGCACAGCCACAGGAGCTGCACTTGAACTTGGAATATCATTCTGCGATCTTGTCCGAGTACATGTAGGCGCTGTATTGCCACGGGGGGGCGGCCGTGCCGCTGGACCAGTCCTCACGACCACGTCCTTTGCCACGCCCGACTCCTTTAGCACCACCATTGCGCAAGGCAGGCGGGGGTGTCATACACCCCGAAGTCAATCACTGAGAAGATCCGAGCCAAAAGGCCCGTTGACGCAGTGTGCCGCTCTGAAGTTCGCGTCAACAAGCACAAAACTTGTGCCAGAACGGTTAGGGGGAGAGGAGGAGGAGGAGGAGGAGGAGGAGGAGGAGGAGGAGGAGGAGGAGGAGGAGGAGGAGGAGGAGGAGGAGGAGGAGGAGGAGGAGGATATTGAGAGGTCAGGGGGGCCTCATCCTGCCCCCGACCCCCCGCCTGCCTTTCCTGCCCACTCACTCTCGTGCTGCACCCTCCCCGCAAGGAGGGGCCTCCTGCGGCGCCACACGGACATGAAGACACCTTTGAATTCTCGTACGTAGCACCCCGCAGTGAGGGGGCGGCGGGGACGTCGGCAGTCTGCGAGGCTCTGAAGAAGCCCGCCGCAGGTGCAGAGTTTTCAAGCTATACAGCGAGTCCGCCGCAGGCGCGGCTTTATTGGTTAAAACAATGTGGGTGGGTCACGGATTAGGTCGCAAGAGGGTCGCGGGTGGGTCGGGGGTGGGTCGCGGATGGGTCGCGGGGTGGGTCGCGGGATGGGTCGCGGGGTGGGTCGCGGGATTAGTCGCGGGGTGGGTCGCGGGTGGACCGCGGGGGGGACGACGACAACAGACAAACAACGCAACAAGCAGAATCCTCACCACGGATCCCCACTCCTACGGGACGTGAAAACGACCACAGCCACTGCTTTTCTTTTGTTGCCGCCTTCCAGCCAGCAGAAACAAAGCAGTGGTTGTGGTCATTTTTGTTAAGCTTGGCACCATGGAAATGACCACAACCACTGCTTCTTTTTCGGCCGGCTGAAGGCGGCGCAAACAAGAAGCAGTGGCTGTGGTCATTTTCCCGTCCAACAACTCCAGCCACGCACCCAGGCACAACGAATGACCGGTCGGCCCCCTCACTCTGACCTCCTTCTCGGCGACGGCGGCGGCGGCAGTGCCAACGCACGCGCGGCCGAGGGCCGCGCGAAGAACCCGAACCGGCTCATCTCGCCAGGCGCCAGGCACGGGAGCGCCTGGGCGGTCGTCGCCGTCGTCGTCGCCGTCGTCGCGGTCGTCGTCGGTGTTGCCGCCGGCATCGTCACTGTTGTCGTCGCCGGCGTGGTAGAAAATTTGCCACCAAGACCGTCATCGTCGTCGTGACCGTGGCCGTGGCCGTGGCCGTGGCCGTGCCCGTAGCCGTGGCCGTGGCCGTGGCCGTGGCCGTGGCCGTAACCGTGGCCGTGATCGTGACCGTGGCCGTGGTCGTCGTCGTCGTCGCCGTCGCCGTCGTCGTCGTCGTCGTCGTCGTCGTCGTCGTCCTCGTCGTCGTCGAGGTCGAGATTTGGGAATTCCACCAGCCATGTGGGCTAAGGTGGTCTGGCGAACTGCTTATTTCCCCTTCCAGCAACTCCCGGATGGTAATCCGCTGCACGTCGTGCGGTTTGGACGCCCGGAATGGGAACGAATCCTCTTCAAAATGAACAGGAACTGCTGTCGGTCTGAATACCCATTCTATCCCGACCCATTTCGATCGTCCCGATGCGGGGGGTCACCCGCACGTCCCACTTCCACGCAAGTGCTGCGTGCTGTGTGTATGTCGGGTGCTGCGAGAACCCGCTTCTCGATCACCCTCCTTCGCGGGGGGTGTATCCGCTCCCACTGCGGGGGGCCCTCCGCGCGTTCTCTCTCACAAGCATGCCCGGTAAGGCGGTACACGGCCGCTGGCCCTACTGCCCTCCTCTCCCCACCGCCCCCTGCAGCCTCTTTCCTCGGCTGGCTCCTTCCCCTTTTCATGCCTTGCCTCCCCCTCGCGTGCGTGGTGCCTCCTTCCTTCCCCTCGGCTTTCGCCCCCCCCCCCCCCGTCGGTCGGCCCGTGTCCCTGGCGTCCGTCCGTCTCCTCCCTCGGCTGTGCACCGTCGTTCCCTGCTCCTCGCTTCTCTCTCTCTCTCTCTCTCTCTCTCTCTCTTTTTGCTCGGTCCCCCTTTGCCTTGTCTTGCTGGCCGGCTGGCCCCTTGTCGTCCTAATTCGGGCCGCCTTGGCCTGTGCCTTGCTTTTCCGCCGTTCTGGCCGCCGTCCTTCCTCATCCTTTTCTTCTGACTACTGGGCGCACTCGCGGTCCCCCGCGCGTGCGCTGGAAGCCATGGCGGTTCGCCTGGCTGCGACGGCAGAACATTGCACGTGTGTGCGAATGTGTGTGTGAACGTGTGTGAATGCGTGTGTGTGTGTGTGTGTGTGTGTGTGTGTGTGTGTGTGTGGTTGTGTGTGTGCGAGTGTGTGTGTGTGTGTGTGCGAGTGTGGGGTCCTCCCATCTGTAACGTCAAGTGACATTGATGCTAAGCGTGCCCCGCCTTCGCTCTCGTTGCAGTGATATCACTCAACCGGTGGATAAAAACGTGCTTATGTGTGCTTGGCCCTTTTGCGGCCTCCAGAAGAGTCCGGAGGCCTCGGGAGGTGTCTGGAAGCTCTCGGCGCAAGGCCGAGGTCGTCGTGGTTGTGGCTGCTGCCAACCTCGACTCACTGCCGTCATCGCCGCCGTAATCCTCGTCGTAAACGCCGCCGGCGCGCTGCGGACTGTGATGACCAGCAACGCGGGGACGGAAGGTGCTGGTGGTGACCAGGGTCATCTCGACGGCCCTGTTCTTCAACCATCGCTCCGCCTCTTTACATCCTCTCCTCCTCATCCTCTTCCTCCTCCTCGTTTCACCTCCCTCTCTGCTCCTCGTCATGCCTCCAAACTCCAGCTTTCCTCTCCCTCTCCTACTCCCTCCTCTCCCTCCTCATTCTCCTCATTTGTCCATCTACCTCGTGCCTCCTCCTTCCGCTCTCCTCCCAGTCCTCCTTACAGACCGTCTGCCTCAGCTCCCTCCCCTGTCTCCTCCTCCTGTCTCCTCCTCCTCCTCCTCCTCCTCCTCCTGGTCCTCCTCCTCTTCCTCCTCCTCCTCTCCTCGGTTCCCCTCTCGTCCTGCCTCTGGACTCGTCCTTCTTTCCCGTATTCGTCGATCTCCTCGGGGGGAGGGAAGGATGATGAAGGAATCGGCGAGGATGACGACCCCCGACTGACTCTGGAGGTATCGAGATCACAAGTCTCCTGGGGTCCTCGGACGACTCCAGGGGCCTCCCGAAGCCTCTGGAGGGCGCCAAACGACTGAAAACCTCGACCCTCCTGGACGACGACGGCTACGAAGACGATGGCGACGGCGGCGGCGGCCGGAGCCGCCTCGGGCGCGGCGTGGTCCAGCACGTAGCGCCACCCCTCCGCGGCCGCCCACAGCGCCGCCAGCAGCGCCTCGCCGCCCACCACGGCGACTTCGACGACACCGACGCAGGACGAGGAGGCCGAAGACGAAGACGAAGACCAACACGACGACGACGACGAATACCAAGACGACGACGACGACGATGACGACGATGACGACGACGACGACGACGACTACGACGAGGCCGACGTCGACGACAAGGCCGACGTCGACGACGACGACGAGGCCGAAACCGAGGACGACGGCCGTTAAAGGCGAAGACGACGCCGCCTACGCCGACTGCGAGGCCGAAAACGCTGACGACCACGACGACCCCAACCACGGCACCGACGACGACGACGCTGAGATAAGACAACGCCTCATGAACAGTCTGGAGAACGGAGGCCGGAATACCTCATTGGAGAAACGGCCTTGGCAACATTACAACTAAAATGTGTTCCTGCCTTGAGGCGACTTACAAGCAATTGTGACGTCGACGAGGCCGAAAGGACATCGACGATCAAGCCGAAGAAGACGACCACGAGGAGACGAGGCCGTCGCAACCGACGACTACAGACAAGGCCACCGACGACGACGACAACGAGGAAGACTTTGCATCGGCAAGTGGGATGATGATGCATGAGCCAACTGGTCGAGGCAAGCATCTTTTGGAAGAGAGAAAAGTATAACAACCATAATACGAATTATCACAGTGCGACCCTACCTATGAGTTGGAACATCTAGGAAACCAACATCTGCATCTACACCGACAGCTACATCAACACCACACTTGCATCTACATCTACATCAGCATCAACAGCGAGACTCACATCTACATATACATCTTTATCATCCCTCCTTCGTCCGAAAACACCTGGCCAGAGCTCAAGCACCCTCAACCCTGAGACGGTCCCCGACGCGGCGACATACATTCTATTTTCCAGGCCCTGAGGGTACCTTCGTTCAAAGAGCGGCGAGGGGCGGCAGCACGAGACGCGAGCCTCTCAAGGTCGCAGGATCCTGCACAGTCCTCTCCCGCTGCAGACGGTCAAAAAGTTCAGACTACAATAAAAAAAGGGGGGGGCGGGAGAGCTTGAGCATGAACGATTATGGAACACACGACCAGGCGGGAGAAGGGACGAGGGGGAGATAAAGACAGTTTACAAACATACATTATCATCCCTCCTTCGTCCGAAAACACCTGGCCAGAGCTCAAGCACCCTCAACCCTGAGACGGTCCCCGACGCGGCGACATACATTCTATTTTCCAGGCCCTGAGGGCACCTTCGTTCAGAGAGCGGCGAAGGGCGGCAGCACGAGACGCGATCCTCTCAAGGTCGCAGGATCCTGCACAATCCTACTCTCCTACTCGGGTTAAATCGCTAGCCCCCTCCTTTATTTGGGGTGGGTTGGGCGGGACCCGAAAAATCATCGCTCAGGCCTCCTACGAACCGGTTTAAAGTCATGCGCCGCCGCACTGGTCTCCTGGGGCCTGCTCTCGAGAGACAAATGGACGCAGTCGCCACGGTGGCTCCCGGGGTCAACGCGCGCCAAGAATTGCAGCAGTCCGGCAGCGACGACGAGGTGAGAGCAGGCTGGCGACCTCAGGAGTTTCAAAAAGTACTTGTGCGGCGCACTCAAGAATTCAACTCCTAGCTCACTCTGCTGGGGCGTCAGACTGGCGCGAGCCTCAACTATCTTGCGCGTTTTTGTGTAGCGCTGCACGGACGCTAGCGACGCCCAACGTCCTCGGCGCCGGCAGCTCTCGAGCGCCCCGCCGTGCGCCACGAACTCGCCCGCCGCCGCGTGCCCCATGTTGCGCGGCGTGCCCAAGTGGCTCAGACCGAGCCTCATCATGCTGATCAGCCACTGCCGCCGGTACTCCGAGACGCTGAATGGGGAAGTCCACGTCGCCCGGCTCGCACCCCTCGATCAGCCCCCGAAGCAGAGCCGTGGTCGTAGGCGATCCCACGTTCAGGCCCTGGTTGGAGACCGTCTTCAGTTCTTCTCCTCTGCGACGATCTCCAAACACCACTGCCAGGTCCTCTCCATCAAAAGCCAGGTTCTCCACTCTCAGCGAAGCCCAGTCTTGTTCGCGGCAGAAAGTGTCGAGGGCGAAGAAAGCGACGCAAGCCGCCGCCACCTTTCCTCTTTCAAGCAGGTCGGAAACCAGGAGCCCCACCACCTCGCGACAGAGACTCCCGCCCTCCTGCGACATCTTGAAGGTCTGCCATGCCGAAAGAGCTCGCGAGGAAAGGGGCAAGTCATTTCTGTGCTCAGGGAAGATGTGGACGAAACCTGACCACAGATGGCCACCATGAATTTGCGACAATCTCTTCGAGTAGCACAGGTGAGACATGTACGCTGCCAGCGCCCGATCTCTCTCTTCATGTGTCTCAAAGGGAACTCCATGCTGGCGACCATCTTTCAGCAACAGGCACGCCAACTTCGCATAGATCTTGTTGGTGATGTCGGTAACCTTGTGCACGAGCAGCTTGTTCACCAACAGCTCAAGGTCACGGAAGGGATAGTCACTGCGGCGGCCCCAAGCTCGCGAACCCCTCTTGCGCAGCGGCGCGAACGAGGCAGCAGGCTTCGGCAACTCGAAATCCCGCCCCCCCCCCCTGCCAGCGCGACAACTGGGGGCTGCGCCTTTCGCCCGGCATCCACCTGCAGCACCGTCGCGAGCATCGCGATCAAGACTCAAGACTACCAATGGTGGCCTTTTCGCTGACGATGCCCGGGAAGCCTTTGGAGTCGCGCCTTCACCGTCCGCGGCAGCCCGCGCGCCTGGGCCCCCCCCTTCTTGACCGCGCCCAGGTCTGACCCCAGCGCCGCTCCGCGCGCGGGGCCGTCCGCCGCGTCCCGCTCGGAGCCGACCCAGCGAAACCTTGGGCGGACCCCCAGCACCACCTGGATGATCCCACTCACCCTTGCCTGCCTCAACAGCGGCCAGGACGACGAGCGCCCCTTGCTCAGGCAGCCCATCGTCACCAGGCTGTCGGTGACAACAACGACCTTCTGGTGCCAGTTCCCCCGACAACGCGCCAGACGCCGCAGCGCCATCACCGCCGCCCTGCGCTCCAACACGTTCTGGTGCTCCTCGCGCTCCCAGGCCCCCGAGACCACCAGGTGCCAGCGCTCCACGTGCGCCACCGAGTCGGGCACGTCCTCGGCCAGCGCCAGCCCTCTCGCCCCCAGCAGCACTGCTGCTGGGGGCGAGAGGGCCCTGCTGCTGCAGCAGGGGCCTCTCGGCCCGGCGCACCGCCCCGGGCTTGGCCATCAGCGGCGCCCTGGGCGCCACCAGCCTCGCATACTCCTCGCGCAGCTCGTCGGGCTAAGGGCGCGCCACCTTTGTCCAGCGCCACCCCACCTTGTCCGCATGCTCCGGGATGCCCCTCGGCACGCCTCCCCTCAGGGAACGATGAGGCCGCCCAGTGCGCGAACAGCAGCTCGCCCGTCCTCGGCGCCGCCGACCGAGCGCCCCCAACTCCGCAACGTTGGTGAGCACCCTGGTCGGCTTCCTCCACTCTGTCCCGAACATGCACAAGTCCAGGGATATCAGGCACACGCCTTCCGACTCCACCACGTCCTTCAGCGGCGGGAGCAGCCGGCATAACGACGAGGCGGGGTTCTCCATGCTGAAGGCAAACCCGCGCTTGATGCACTCCAGCATCACCTCCACCGCGATCATCATCAGATAGGCGCCGTTGCCCGCCAGCTCCCGCTCGTCCTCGCTGAGACCCGAGAGGCCCCAGATCTCCGACGCGCTCCGCAGCTTTGGCACGCGCGCACGGGACCACGTAGCACAGGGCGGGGCCAGGTGCACGAGCCAGTAGATCCCCATGGCCAGGTCGACAGAGAGCCTCCCCAGGTTCGACAAGTCCCCCAGGTCGTAGCGGGCCCCCTGTTCGATCTCCAAGGGCTCCACCCAGCTCGGGCGGGCTCGCCCGATGGCCGCCGACAAACGAGCCGAACCCGCGAACAGCTCGCAGAAGCCAGCCGCCCCTCCTCGAGCATCGCGAGCATGCTTCTCACTCGCCCGATGCTGCCAGGCCAGAGTGGCCCAGTCGAGCTCGTCCTCCTCCACCGCCGAGTAGGCTTCGTGCAGCTGCGTCGACCATCCCTGCTCGTCGCCCGCCTCGCAGAGGGCCCACATCTCGTTCACCTCCGATCGACTCGCAACGATGCCGAAACCGAGGTGGCTCGCATCCGTCGGGAAGATCCACTCGTGCCACTCGGACCCCAAGAAGGTCCCATAGTAGACCGACAAGGAGACCATGACAAAGAACTCGTCAAGCACCTCGCCCCGCAACGGGGCCTCCCGCTCGCCTCGGTACTCCTGAATCCACATGTAAACATGGTGGGGCACACTCATGGCCCCTCTCGCGCAGGTGGAGATCCACGCCCAGAGCCCCATCAGCGACTCGACGGCTGCGGGGACAGCCCGATCCTGCTTTATCACCGCCTCCATAGCCAGCACCGCCACGCGGATCTTCTCTTCCACCACCTGCAAGACCGCTGCCCGCGCCCAGGGTGACGCCCAGCGAGCGCTCGAGGCCACGCCCGACGTCCTCCTTGTGGGCCGACAGCCCGACCGCCTCCAAGGCCCGTCGGGCCCTCGCGCCGTCCTCCTTCACCTTGAACTCCTCCGCCGCGGTGTCCTTGGGCTCGAGACGGAACCCGGCGCAGTCGTCGATGAAGATCCAGTGCAACAGCGACTCACGATAGCACTGTGGGGGCGGCGCGCCGTGCTGCACCCGCCCCGCCACGCTCAGCTCACTTTCGCCCTCCATCACGCCCTGCAGGGCGAAGTGGGCGAAGAACGCAGCCCACGCGGAGCCCATGGGCAGCTCCCGCAAGCAAACTCGTTTTCCATTTCCATCTCCCAGTTGCTCGACGAGCTCCTGCCGCCCCCGCCTCTGCAGGCGCGCCCGCAATTCCTCCCCCGACACGCCCTCGAAGCCGGAGTAGCCCCGCGGCCCCTGCGGCAAGAGCAGCTCGCAGAAGAAGTCCGGCACATCCCCGACGAAGCTCGTCACCTCCAAGTCTCAACGCACGCTCGAGCTCAAATCGACCCCGCGCAGGGCCGCGACCGAGCCCATGGCGACCCAGGGCGGACTCATGAACCTCATGTTGGACCTTCTCATGTCCCAAATCAGCCTCGAACTCCATTCCCCCGTCGTCTCGTCGATCTTCTTCAGGACCGTGAAGACCTTCACCTCTTCCACCGCCTCGTCGCACATCCCAATCATACCCGACTCGGCCAGCCACTCCAGCATATCCAGCTTCACATGCTTCTGCCTCAGGCTGGGATCACAGCACGGCTTGATCGCGTCGTAAGCCGCCCAGCCCACCTCGTGGTCGCCGAGCGCAATCGTCTTGATCGGCCCCCTCAGGCACGGGCGACTCGATGGAGACATGGTTTCGATCGGGATCGGCACCGACCCCGGCGGCGGGAGCGACGCCTCGCTCACCTTCATAGGACACGTGTCGCCACGCTGCGGCCCTGCGGCCGCCCCCTCCTTCTCCTTCGCCTGATGCCACCCGACGGCCCGCGACGCCAGCTGCTTCAAGACTGGCGCTCCGTCGGCGAGACTCCCCCACGATGCTCGAGCCCGCCAGCGACTCCAGAGGTCTCGCACCACCTCCCTCTGAGCGGCCGAGGCCCCCCTCCATGCCGAACGAGTCCCTGTCAGAATCTCGCCCCTCACCCCGTCCAGCACCCCGTGGTGCATGTGCGAGATGGCGTTCACCGACGTGTTGACCCTCTTGATCGTCAGGCCAGTCAGCGCCTTGGAGCTCTCCTCCTCGACGTCCTCTCCCACGAAGAAGGGGGCCCGGGGCACTCTGCGCAGAGGGTCTCGGATCCGAGTCTCCGCACCTGCGGGCCTCTGCGTTAAACCCAGGGGCGCCCCGAAGCACACGCTCCCGACGACAAGGGCCACCGCCCCCAGCGGGCTGAAAACGCCGGCATGCAGAGCCAGCGCCGAAGCCGAAGAAAAGGTCGCCCAGGGCCGTCACCGAGATCGCGAACTTGAACAGGTACTTGAAGAGCACAAAGCAAAGGCGGCGACGCTCCGCGCTTGCCCGCGCCCCCCCCCGCCGCTGGAGAGGCAGGCAACCCCTGCTCGGAGCTGTCCTTCGCGCCGTCGGGGAAAGCCTTGTCAAGGCACTTGTTAAACAAGGCCATCCGCCCCAAGCGCATCCGAACCTC